TGAAGGCAAGAGAGATAAGGGTTTTTATATGGCAGCCCCAGCAGTACATTTAACATGATGCTGGGATATTAGTAGTAAATTTGTTCTGTTTTGGGGGAAATCAAAACAGTCATCTCACAGATCATTTTCAGACGTTTACCAATATCTGTTTCACCTCCTTTTAAATGGTGTATGCAGTGGCATATAAATGACTACAGGGAAGCAGAAAAAAATGTAGGTTTAAAATAGTAGATGTTAGGATTAGACTTCAGTAGCTTATTAAATCATTGACACCTAGAAGACTTTGTAGATAAAATTATTTCAATACATAAAATTCCACTCTTTTGTAGAACAGAACACATCTGGAAGAACAATCTGTTACCTCTGGAAAACTTGACTACAGAATCCTTAGGGCCTAATACAAATGAAAATGCAGAACACTTGTTCAAAAATTAATAAAAGTTTCAAGATGGCAGCAGCAGAGCATTAAACTAAGTAGGGAATTCTTCTAGGTGCAGGACATTGTTTGACTATATAGATCTCTTACCTGTGAAGCAGGCCCTTCCTCTGACTGTGCTCCTCACCTTGCTTCCTATTCTACTACTGATGTCTGCCATTCTATCTTTTACACTTAAACCATCTCCCTGGTAAGCTTCAATTGCCCCTTAGTTACCAGTCACCGTAATCTCAGTGAATGTGAGTTTCATGGAAGTTCACAGCTGGGAGCAGGTTTGATATATGGTAGGATGGAGAGAAACCAGGGTTGGGAAAAAGATGAAGGATATCAGGCTATGGGAGGCTGCCAGAGTGTGGCATAAGGATCTTGAGCACCTTGTCAGGAAGATGCTGTTATTTAGAATAGGCTTCCTGGAATGGCCTAGTAGAAGTGGGCTGAAGAAGAAAAGGTTTTATGTTTTGCTCTTTTATGTAGGTTTTATGTTGTGGTGGACCTTTTTAGATAGGGTAGATGGTGGTGAGCTTAAGTGCTGATGTAGGTATGTTTGCATGTCTATATGCATGTGTTGAGGACTTCTAAGCTAGAGGTAATAAGGGTGAAAGAAACCACTCCTCCAGCCTGTAAATTCTAGGGTCCTCTTTTATGCCTTAACAGATTTGGTAGCAGTTTACTCATGCTCTTGTCTAGAAACTCCAAAGATGGTCCTGGGAAAAGCTTTCACCCTGACTTACAGTATACCTGTTACTTAGATGCTGAATTTGGAGATTTTTAATGTGAGAAAATGAGAAAAGATCTCAGCTTTCACAATAAAACATCTATTGCCCATAAACCTGTGTGGTATACAAATCGTGCTATTCTCTTCTTTTAATATGTAGAAGGAAATTGTATGAGTTACACGAATTAGTGTGTTATTATTATAATGCTGTATAATAAAACATCTCAGTAGTATACAACATTAAGCATTTAGTCAGCTTGTACTCTAGAGTTTCCCTTGTCTAGTTATGGCACGGCAGGGCTTTCTCATGTGTCTGTCAGCTAGGCAGCTCTTCTGTTCTTGGCTGGGCTTGCTTCCATGGCTGCATGCCAGCAGGCTGTTGATTGATCTAGTCATTCTAGATCAAATCCACAGATGACAATATTAACCTTAAATGTAAATGGGCTAAATGCCTCAATTACAGAAAAGACACAGAGTGGCAAGCTGGATAAAGAACCAAGACTCTCTGGTATGCTGTCTGCAAGAGACCCATCTCACATGCAATGATGCCCATAGGCTCAAAATAACGGGCTGGAGAAAAATCTACCAAGCCAATGGAAAACTGAAAAAAGCAGGGGTTGAAATCCTAATGTCAGAAAAAACAGACTTTAAACCAAAAACAATCAGAAAAGACAAAGAAGGGCATTACATAATGGTAAAGACTAAGGAAATTGCTCAAAACTATACATTTCCATGGAAATTAAACAACCTGCTCCTGAGTAACTTTTGGGTACATAATGAAATTAAGGCAGAAATCAAGAAGTTATTTGAAACTAATGAGAACGAAGATACATCATAGCAGAATCTCAGTGATATGGCTAAGGCAGTATTAAGAAGGAAATCTATAGCTTGAAATGCCCACATCAAAAAGTTAGAAAGATCTCAAATTAGCAACTTAATATCACAGGAAAATGAACTAGAGAAGCAACAGCAAAGCAACCCCAAGCTAGCAGAAGATAAGATATAACCGAAATCAAAGCTAAACTGAAGAAAATTGAGATATTAAAAAAAAACATTCAAAAAATCAGTGAATTCCTGAGTGGGTTTTTGAGAAAATTAATAAGATAGAATGCTAGTTAGATTAATAGAGAAAAAAAGAGAGGTTTCAAGTAAACACAATTAGAAATGACAAAAGGGATATTTACCACTGACCCCACAGGAATGCAAATAACCATCAGAGACTAGTATGAACAACTCTATGCACACAAACTAGAAAACATAGACGAGATGGGTCAATTCCTGGACATATACAACCTCCCATTACAGAACCAGGAAGAAATTGAAAGACTGAACAGACCCATAATAAACTCCAAAATTGAATAAGTGATAAATAGCCTACCAACCAACAAAAGCCCAGGACCATATGGCTTCATAGCAGAATTCTTCTAGATATGCAAAGAAGAGCTGGTACCACCGCTAATACTGATACCAAAATATGGTAGAGACACAACAACAGCAAAAAAAAAATTCAGGCATATATATATATGTATATATATATATTTTTTAAATTATTTTTATTTTTTTTAAATTATACTTTGAAGTTCTGAGGTACATGTGCTGATCATGCAGGATTGTTATATATGTATACACCAGCCATGGTGGTTTGCTGCATCCAACACCCCGTCACCTACATTAGGTATTTCTTCTAATGTTATCCCTCCCCAATCCCTCCAACCCCTGATGTCCCTCCCCTGGCCTCTGACCCCCAACAGGGCCTGTTGTGTGATGTTTCCCTCCCTGTATCCATGTGTTCTCATTGTTCAGCACCTACTTATGAGTGAGAATATGCGGTGTTTGGTTTTCTGTTTTTGTGTCAGTTTGCTGAGTGTGACGGTTTCCAGACTCAACTATGACCCTGCAAAGAACATGAACTAATCCTTTTTTATGGCTGCATAGTATTCCATGGTGTATATGTGCCCACGTTTTCTTTATCCAGTCTATCATTGATGGGTTTTAGGTCGGTTCCAAGTCTTTGCTATTGTAAACAGTGCCACAGTGAACATACATGTGCATGTGCCTTTATTACAGAATGATTTATAATCCTTTGGGTATATACCCAGTAATGAGATTGCTGGGTCAAATGGTATTTCTGTTTCTAGATCCTTGAGGAATTGCCACACTGTCTTCCACAATGGTTGAACTAGCTTACACTCTCACCAACAGTGTGAAAGCATTCCTATTTCTCAAAATCTTCTCCAGCATCTATTGTCTCCAGATTTTTGATGATCTCCATTCTAACTGGCATGAGATGGTATCTTAATGTGACTTTGATTAGCATATCTCTAATGACCAGTGATAATGAGCATTTTTGATGTTTGTTGGCTGCATAAATGTCTTCTTTTGAGAAGGGTCTGTTCATATCCTTTGCCCACTTTTTGATGGTTTTTTTTCTTGTAAATTTGTCTAAGTTCTTTGTAGATTCCGGATATTAGCCTTTTGTCAGATGGGTAGATTGCAAAATTTTTTTCCCATTCTGTTGTTTGGAGTTCACTCTAATGATTGTTTCTTTTGCTGTGTAGAAGCTCTTAAGATTAAGATCCCATTTGTTTATTTTGACTTTTGTTGCCATTGCTTTTGGTGTTTCAGTCATGAAGTCCTTGCCTATGCCTATGTCCTTGGTGGTATTGCCTAGGTTTTCTCCTACGGTTTTTATGGTGTTAGGTCTTATGTTTAAATCTTTAGTCCATTTGGAATTAATTTTGTATACGGTGTAAGGAAGGAAACCAGTTTCAGCTTTCTGCACATAGGTAGCCAGTTTCCCCAAAATCATCTATTAAACAGAGAATCCTTTCCCCATTGCTTGTTTTTGTGAAGTTTGTCAAAGATCAGATGGTTGTAGATGTGTGACATTACTTCTGAGGTCTCTGTTCTGTTCCGTTGGTCTACATCTCTGTTTTGGTACTGGTACTATGCTGTTTTGATTACTGTAGCCTTGTAGTATAGTTCAAAGTCAGGTAGCATGATGCCTACAGCTTTGTTCTTTTTGCTTAGGATTGTCTTGGCTATGCGGGCTCTTTTTTGGTTCCATATGAAGTTTATGGTGGTTTTTTTTCCAGTTCTGTGAAGAAGGTCAATGGTAGCTTGATGGGGATAGCATTGAATCTGTAAATTACTTTGGTTACCATGGCCATTTTCACAATATTAATTCTTCTAACCATGAGCATAGAATGTTTTCTTCATCTGTTTGTATCCTCTCTTATTTCCTTGAGTAGTGGTTTGTAGTTCTCCTTGAAGAAATCATTTATGTCCCTTGTTAGTTGTATTCCTAGGTATTTTATTCTCTTTGTAGCAATTGTGAATGGGAGTTTGCTAATGATTTGGCTCTCTGTTTGTCTGTTATTGGTGAATAGGAATGCTTGTGATTTTTGCACATTGATTTTGTATCCTGAGACTTTGCTGAAGTTGCTTATCATCTTAAGAAGATTTTTGGCTGAGACAATGGGGTCTGCAAATAGAGACAATTTGACTTTCTCTTTCCCTAATTGAATACCCTTTATTTCTTTTTGTTTTCTGATTGCCCTGGCCAAAACGTTCAATACTATGTTGAATAGGAGTGGTGAGATAGGGCACCCTTGTCTAGTGTCAGTTTTCAAAGAGAATGCTTCTCGTTTTTGCCCATTCAATATGATATTGGCTGTGGGTTTGTCATAAATAGCTTTTATTATTTTGAGATACGTTCCATCAAAACCTACTTTATTGAGAATTTTTTAGCATAAAGTGCTGTTGAATTTTGTCAGTGGGCTTCTCTGCATCTATTGAGATAATCATGTGGTTTTTGTCTTTGGTTCTGGTTTTTTTTGTTTTATTTTTATGACAAAGCCAGGTTTATTACTCTGGGTTAAACCTGTGGAGGCAGGACCTGGGAAGGGGCATGGGGACAGTTCTCAGTATGCTAAGATCTGCTGATCACCTGCCCATGGGTCAGGCCCCCACTGAAGTTCTAGGTGAGGCCCAGAGCTGGGGGACAGGGTCCTCTTCCTGAGACTGCAGCTTGTGGGATCACTGCAATGTTCTGTCGTGGAGGTGGAGGCTAGAGTGTTGGCGTGTGCTGGGCCAGTGTCCTCAGGAAGGTGCCTTGTTGGAGGGGGTGGTGGCAGCTGCCCTGTTCTTCTTGGCCAGGGCCTTCAGCAGTGGTAGCTTCTTGGGCAGGCTGCTGCTGGCTTTCATCATCACGTCATGTTCGATCTTCTTCCGGATCCCAACTTCTAGGTTCTTATTGAGCTTCTGCTGCTGCACGACGCATGCAGCATGCCTTCTTGGGATCAATAACACGACCGCCTTTCCTTGGCCCCGATTCTTCTCAGAGGCCGCCGCTGCAGTCTTGCTCTTTGCTGGCTTGTGCACCTGGAATTTGCGCTGTCCCTTCACCATGTTCTGGCATGCAGCAGAAGAGGCGGGGCTGTGAGTGGCTTTTTTTTTTTTTTTTTTTTCCCTCAGAGTGAAACATCACTTTTTATTTCTTCTGAGTATCTACATTCAATTGCTTTGCCTAAATTAACAAAAACATACAAATACATATGGTTGCTGGTGACAAGTTCTCTAAGATAGTGGGGGACATGATCTAAATGTGCACAGGCAAGGCTCGGTTTCCAGAGGGGTGGGCAGGGGGCAAGTAGGGGCTGTCTGATCCCCAGGGCAATGAAGTCTTAGAGCTGAATTTATAGATTTGCATATGTTGAACTAGCCTTACATCTCTGAGATAAAGCCGACTTGATTGTGATGGATAAGCTTTTTGATGTGCTGTTGCATTTGGTTTGCCGTATTTTATTGAAGATTTTGCATCAATGTTCATCATGGATATTTACCTGAGATTATCTTAATCAGTTGTGTCTCTGCCAGGTTTTGGTATCAGGATGATGTTGGTCTCATAAAATGAGTTAGGCAGGATTTTCTCATTTTGTATTGTTTGGAATGGTTTCAGAAGGATTGGTACCAGCTCCTCTTTGTACATCTGGTAGAATTAGACTTTGAACCTGTCTGGTCCTGGTCTTTTTTTGGTTGGTAGGCCATTAATTGCTGCCTCAATTTCAGACCTTGTTATTGGTCTATTCAGGGATTCAAGTTCTTCCTGGTTTAGTCTTGGGAGGGTGTAAGTGTCCATAAATTTATCCATTTCTTGTAGATTTACTGGTTTATGTGCATAGAGTTGTTTGTAGTAATCTCTGATGGTAGTTTGCTTTTCTGTGGAATCAGTGGTGATATCCCCTTTGTCATTTTTTATTGCATCTATTCTATTTCTCTCTCTCTCTCTTTTTAAATCAGTCTGGCTAGCAGTCTATATATTTTGTTGATCTTTTAAAAAAACCAGCTCCTGGATTCATTGATTTTTTTGAAGGTTTTTTTTTTTGTGTGTGTGTGTCTCTGTCTCCTTCAGTTCTGCTCTGATCTTAGTTACTTCTTGTCTTCTGCTAGCTTTTGAATTTGTTTGATCTTGCTTCTGTAGTTCTTTTAATTG